CCAAGATTTTTAATAGCGGTTTGTCGTAGAGAGTTCATTCTTTTTTTGTTTAAAAGAGGAAAAGAAACTACATCGACTGACCGGCGTCGATTTTTGAATTAGGTCTTCGTTTTTTGTCAAACCGAGGATTTTTAGAAAATCCGGAAGGCTTTTTCGGATTTCGCAGGTTGTTGATTGCATGGAAAACCAATAAAGGCTTAATTAAAAAATCGGCGTCGGTCAGTCGATGTAGTTACGTGTGTAGTTTAAAATAAAACAAACCAGAACTCTCCAGCTTGAAGTATATTAGAAAATCTTGGGACGCCGTTCAGGGTCCTTTTTGGACCCTGATCTCTGAAAAACTCCTAAACCGTAAGACTTGGAGACAAAAAAATCTTTTCATTCCCGTAACTCATTGTACCGAACGTTCACGGAAAGTTTCGTCAAGATCGGATGTACGGTGTCGGAGATAATTTCTGAGGGGGGGGGGGCCCTTAAACGTACGTTCATGTTTTCACGCTTAGTATTGATAATTTCTCGTTTTAGGTAATATTGCTGCCGGTAAGACAACAGTTTTAAATCATATTCAATCGAAATATCCTAATATCGAAGTAAAGACTGAACCGATAGATCATTGGACAAATGTAAAAGGATTTAATCTACTTGAAGCTTTGTATACACAATCAGAACGTTGGACATTTACATTTGAATTTTATGCACTACTTTGTCGAGTTAAAGATTACCAATTAGCATCTAATAACCATAACAATAATAAAATTAAATGTTTTGAACGATCATTATTGAGTAATAAACACGTATTTATTCGTCATGCTTATAATGAACAATCTTTAAATGAAGTCGAATATGAATTATTGAACCAATATTTTGAATATGCATTAACAAAAATTGATTATTCTCAAACTGCTATATTATTTCTTGATTTGATACCTGAACAATGTTATGAACGGTTAATAAAACGTGCACGTGATGCTGAAAAAATAATAGATTTAAAACGTTTAGAAAAATTACACCATTACTATGATGATTTTTTGAAGAAGATTGATATATGTGAAGTAAAACGAATAGATGCCGCTCAGCCAGTTGAAGATGTTTTTAAACAAGTTGATTGTGTATTAGATGAATTAGTACAATAGTTGTATATTTTGTATATTCTTATTTGTAATTGATGTTGTTAAGTCTGTGCTAAAATGTATCATTAATAGAGACTATCATCGAAGTCATCGTTTCATGGGCGAGATGGGCGAGTCACCACTTTTTCGAGTCCGAGTCAGCAGGCTTCGAGTCCAGGTTCGAGTCCGAGTCGCATAAAAAATTGACTCGAGTCACCTCTAGTCCTTTCGAGTCATTTTCTAGTGGTAGTCTTCCTCTTGATTCATTTTTTCAAGACAGCTTACTACTCACTGCTGTTGTTTTAAGCATTCGTTTTTACTCATTCTGCTGAACACTTCCTAGGTGTTATCTCG